GTCTCTTTTATTAATATCTTTTAGCACATTTCAAAGCAATTGCTGAGGTGCTTTTACCCCTCTCTGTAGTGCCTATCCAGTGTGGTCCTGGCGTTTTTGTTTTGTGGATTTTTTTTTTTTCTTTTTTTACTTTTTTCTGTCCATGGGTGTCAATGAAACACTGAGGATGTGGCAACTTAGGTTTTGTAGAGCAAGTTTGTCAGTGTATGTTATGGAAAAGAAGCTTCTGTTGGGAGCACAAGTCATGTCACAGGACTGTCACCCCTCCCCTCCACTCAGTAATTCTAACACTGCTCTTTTGGGCCTTTTCGCTGGGATTTGGAGATGCATGCTTTCTAAAGGACTGTTGCAAGGCGATTGTTACCATGGTTTTCTAAAATTTCCAGCCTTTTCAGGTACAAGAGAAAAATCAACACAGCCAGGCTTTTACGTTATTTTACTTTGTAGATTCTAGGTGGTATTGTGACTGCTATAAATACATTCCCCACATTTACATGGGATTTTTGTCTTCTAGTAATAACATGTTGCATCTGAACTTTTAAAATGTGTGGTGCCTGCCAATTATCTGGCATCCTAGCAAGGCAGAGCCTGTTGCCATGGAGCTTTGAGGAGGACTTGCTTCGCCAGTCAGCGTACCTGCAGCTGGAGAACTGGTTAAATGATCTCTTTGTGGAAGCAGTTTCTTCAGGGTGAAGGAAAACTAGGAAAGAAAGGAGAAAAAATGGAAGTGGGGTGTGTGTGTTTAAGAAAGATATATCCTTCTCCCAGCCCACATCTGTCATATGTTTCTGCTGGGGCAGGTTGCCATTTCTTTGAAGAATCCTTAACTATGTCAGGCAATTGGAGTTTGACCTCACAGCAGTGTGCATGACTGCTTTTCCTTGCTTTAATACTGTTCCCTCCATGTCAATTTTGTTTTGCTTTGCTGTGGATTATTGCCACGTTAGCATGGTGAGGAGCATGGCAGAGAATGATGTATCACAACATTGTGTGACGACTTTGTTGTGAAGAATACATCAACAAACCGGAAAGCCTCCAGTGCCCGCTGGTTACTCAGTTGTGTGAATCTGCAGGGTGCTGCTCCAAATCAATCTTAGCTACTAGACAGCTATTTAAGAATTATGCTGAAAGGTCTGAACTTTTCAAGCCAACTTTCTCCCTTTTTCACCTAAACTGGCATTTCGCTCTCTAACTGTATTGGGTAGCTGTTTTTCAGTCATTGCATCTGGAGCCTGAATCTCACTGGTGTCTGACTAAAAGTCCAAGAATATTGACTTACCACACTGTGCATCTGTTTTTCTTAGTTATGTGATGTTGTTTGGTTCCTATAGTCAGTCATGGACTTTTATGCACTGGATTCACACATTTGCTCATTTTTCTGCAGATTATATATATTGCTATAGCACTTCTGAGTGTTTGAGGTTATTCCCATCCTATATGATGTACTGTCTTACATGTCATAAGTGGCTTTTGTGTTAGCAAAATTGTACCACTCTGTAATTGTATTACCCTTATGATTCCTGATATCAGATGTGGGGTTTATTTATAGCTTTACTTTCCATTCATGTATTGAAAATGTAGCTTGTGTATGTCTTTGGTGCCTTGACCCCTAAAGCTTCAGGATTCTAATTTCTTTGTGAATTGCTGTTGCTTCAGTTTGATTCCCCTTAATTTAATTAGTAATTACTGATCATTAAATTAGTAATTATTAATTCTGAAATTACTGATTCAGTTTGTAGCTATGGTGCAGGAAAAAGAATGACAGTTCAATTTGAGTTCTCTGTCCTGGTTCCCTGATTCTGGACTTAAGGAACCTTTAGAGGTATCACAAACTCCGTGGCCTCATTGTTAGAAGTTTGACTGCTGCTTATTCTTGTTGGTCTCTGTCTTCCGCTGGGATATATCACATCATCAACAGAGAATGAAAAATAATGTTTTCATAAACAGATTGTGTGTACGCTTATCATCTCCTGCTTCCTGGAGCTGTGGATCTCACTCAGGTAGTATAGGACACCTATGTAAACAAGACCTAGGTTAAATGTATCAGAACATACCTCATGTGCTGATGTGCAGATGTGCCTCTTTCTGAAGAGTATTGGCTTATGGAGCAGCAGCTGTTTATGCAGATGTTAATCTAAAGGGATCTCCTGCTGGTACGTAGTCTGTACAAACAGTTTTGGATACTCTTTAATCTATCTCTGCCCGGCTCTTGAGTAGTGGAAGTGTCTCCTTTCCCCTTTGTAGCATTTTCCTGGTGAGACTTGATAGCAGAGAGACTAAAATCAATGGATCTTAGGCAAGTGGCAATGCCTGAATTTTATCGCAACTACTTGATCAAACAACCTTCTTGATAGTGTTCCTCGAAAAGATTCAGAATAAAATTTGGGCAACAGTGATACTAAATATATATAATAGATAGCTATGTCGTCTTTGTGTGTTGTGGTGATACTCAGGTTCTGCAGTATTCCCATACCTCCTGTCTTTCCTTGATCGGCAAGCTGGGTGTACAGCTAACCTGTTTGCCACTTCCAAGGATTCTGGGAAGCATTTGTTATGGTTCATTATATAAATCTTCTTAATGAAATGGCTTTGCTACTACCAGGTCATGACACTTGGTGCAAGTCTAGGCTATGCTAAGTGTAAACAAATTAAAAACCCTTTGGTGTGAAAAATATTTGTTTCTGCTTCTAGCTGTAAACAGTTCTGGCTATTGAGACTCACTATCTGCAACGACTTTACTGATGCTAAAGATGCATGTTAGTCATCCAGTCGCTGTTTGATATACTTACAGAAGACAACATCTGACAAAAGAGCTTTTGTCTGGAAATCATCTCGGGTTATGAAATTAGTTCTTGCTCTCTGACAGTCTGCACACTAGTGATGATTGCAGCTATTAGGTTTGCCTTGCGGTGCAGTTAAGACGGAGGTTCTTTGTACCTGGAACATTACAACTCCCGTAGCCACAATTTCAATGGGCTTGGACATGAATTTGACCTAGGTCTCACTTGTATGATAAACTCTTTGTCAGCCCATCTATCGCTCTCTTCACTGAGATGTTTGAGTGTAAGCATTTTCTTTCTCGCACTCCAGCTGCTTCTTTACCCTCTTCTGCAGTCAAGCTATAATCCTGTGGTTTTGATATTGCAGCCTGTTGCCATGGAAATAATGGTGATTTCACAATTTCAGTGCTGTAAGCACTGCAGGAGGCAGTGGAAAAAGTGGCTGGCAAAGAGATTCAGCAAGAACATGGGGGACAGGTCAGAGTTGTTTCTGAACCTGCTTTTTTGGGAGGGTTCTACCCCTTCTCTACTATTGTGGGGTTTAAGTGTGTGTGTGTGCTTTGTTGTGTTCTCTCACGTTTTTTGCAAAGGTTATTACAAAGTGATGCTAAATGCTCCTTGTCCTCAGAATAAAAATACAATGCTTTCTTTGCAGCTTATAGTAAATCATTTTTGGACAAAAGGGCAAAGGTTGAGATCTAAGCGTGTTCTGCTTAAGTTGTGTCTTTAGCCAGAAGAAATCCCTTTCAGGAAAATGTTTTTTTCATAAATAGTAAAACAAGCTGAGAACATCATGACAGGCATATGCATTTAAAGTTATCTGTGTGACTGACAGTATTAAAATCTAATATATTCATTATTTAATTTTTAGTGTGCTCTGCATACAAACAAGTTTGGTGCTGAAGATCATTTTATGTGGCAGCTGTTCATAGCATTATGTTGTGATCTATACTGAAGTCTTTTCTCTAAATTAGATACATCTATAAAGGTAGAGTGAAACTTACTAGAGGAAATCAGCTTTGTTATGAAATGAATTGGCAGCTTAACAAGCTGAAGGCAAGTGGCATTCAGAAGAATGAGAATTTTTGATACTATACACTTGAAAGCATCAAACAGCAGCCCTTTTTCCCCAGCTATTTACAGCAACATTCCACTGATTAGTGTAGTCAGAGAGTAGATATTATCTGTAACTTTTAAATTAAGATCTTAGAATTAGTTTTCAGTCTGCAGTAGGATGTAATCGGTAACGATGGTGACAGTAAACTTTAAGATCTTTTTTAATTAAAGATAAAGAAAAAATTGTTTCAGCCTATCGGATGCATTAAAATGATATAGGAATTGCTTTAAAAATATTTTGATCTTCTTTGGCTTGATAGTCCATAAAAGGAGATAAGAAGATCAGCTGTTAAATATGAAAGGGAAACAATAAAGAGTGTTCAGCATGACTCTGGCTTTGTTTGACAGTGTTATTAGGAAGCCAAGTTCATAAGGATGGATCCAGTCTCTTGGTACTTTACTTGTGTGAATGGAAATAAAAATATTGGGCACACAGGTAGACTATCTGGATTTCACAAAAGCTCTGCAAGAAACTTCTGCGTAAATTAAAATGACAAAATGAGCCAGAACTGTGTTTGCAGGACCTGTCCTGAAAAGATGCCAAATATCTCATGCTCTCAAATCTAATTGAGAATGTGGGCATTTTGGTAGTAGAGTATTACATAAATCAGACCTTTAAAATAAATCAAAAGGGAGAACATTTTCTTTCTGAACTATATTTCTTAGTGAAAAGTGATTTTTGTCATGTAATGTTGCTTAATGCCAAGTAAGATTTTGTTGTAGAAAGGTGCATTTCCATTGAATTATATTGGATTATATATACTTCATACTTGTCCCAAACTTACTGTGTAACTGAAATAGTTATATTATTTTTATGCATGAGATTGGCTATAGAATTTTGTCTGCAGTGGTAGAACACAAGTAGCATTTGCCTTCTGTCTTAAGAAGAAAAGACTGCCTGTAAGAAAGTCAGTGAGATGATAAATATACTGATAAGTATTTTTGACTCCTTCCTGGTGATGTTTAAAACTCTTGGTAAGGGAGCCATTTAGCTACAGGTAGTAGTATCTGATTGATAAATGAACTCCTTCGTGACGAATGACTTCGAAGACCTGGACAGCAGGCAGGTGTTTCGGTGCCTCATTGCTTCTATCCCCGTTACAGGTGCATGTGACAGCATTGCAGTGATGAGCGGGATTTTAAAGAGGAAGTTTGAAGAAGTTGATGGCACCTCACCGTGTTCCTGTGTGTGGGAATCGGATGATGACATTTCTAGCAGTGAAAGTGCTGACAGCGGAAGTAATGTCCATCCATCCACTTCTAATCATTTTACTCGTAAGTACTAAAGTGGTGTGTAAGGCACAATACTTGTTTTTTATACGTGTTAAGAAAGGTTAATCTTACTTGGAAGAAATACAGTGCTTTTATTTTGAAGTATTTTTTCTGTTTTATTACACTTAAATGTTGACACCGTGAGGAAGTACTTCTTTTTTGAAAAAGAGCTATTTCCTCTAGTAGTTGTTCATGTAAAAATTTATATGCCAGAGTGAGTTTCAGAGGAAACTCCACTTTAATACTATATCATTTATATATAGATGTGTGAAATGTTTTGAGTATATAGGAGACCATCTTCCATTTTGGGTGATGATTTGGGGAAAGAAGAAAAATAGACAGTAACAAAGCTTGAAAGACATTGCTTCTGCTTGGACCTGTGTGTCTAGAGTTGAGAGTAGCCTGCACCATCTGCGGCAGAATAGCTGCTCTCTCTGATCATTCATCCTGCCACCTGAGCCAATGCAAGCACACAGCCCTTAGAAGCCTGGGTTAGTGTAGTTCCTTATCTGAAAAGGAAGAGCTCCACTGGGTAAAGGACGTTTCTGTACCAGTTCTCTTTGAGTGGACTTTTCAAAAGCACACTCTGCACTTGGATGTTCAGCTGAGGGTGGTGGTGAAGAGGTTGTACTCTACCTGGGAGGGCACCACAGGAGTCTGTCCTGAAACCTGTCTTGCTTAACATCTTTATCGATCACCTGAAGGAGGTGATAGAGTGACTTGCGTCAAGTTTGAAGAGAATCACATTGTGGGGAATAGTTGATGCCCTTAAGGGAAAAGCTGCTACTCAGAGGAAGTAGACAGGCTGGAGGGACAGGCTGACAGAAGACACATAAAATTTGGCAAACACAAGTGCAGAGTTGTGTACCTGGGAAGGAAGAGCCCCTTGCAATGATGCAGGCTGGGACTGACCCGCTGGGGAACAGCTCTGCAGAGAAAAGGCACTGGGGGTCTTGGCAGACTGGCAGCAAGGGGAACGTGGGTGAGCAGTGTGTCCTGGCAGCCAAGAAGGGCAACAGCCTCCTGGGCTGCATGAACAGAAGCAGAGTGAGGGAAGTGACTGTCCCCCTCAGCTCAGCACCCCAGCACTCATTAGCCTGTACCTAGAATATTGTTGTCCAGGTTTGGCCCCCTCAATGCAAGAAAGACATTGGTAAAGTGGAGCAAGTTCAGCAGAAGGTCACCAAGACAATGAGGGGGCTGGAGCATTCACCCTGTGAGGAGGGACTGAGGGACCTGACCAGACCTAACTGGCTAAAGCTGTAAGCAGCCTGGTCTGATATCCTAGCTGACCTCACGTTGAGCAGGAGGTTGGACTAAAGACCTGCTGCTTCACCTCTGTGAGTGAAAATGGCAGCTAGTACTGAGTAGTTTTGAAAAGCCTAGATTTTTTTGTAGGCTTCTTGCTGAATTTAGAGTTCTAGTGGGAAGAACAAAAACTGTGATGATTTGAGACACAGGTAGATGTGAGCTGTCCTCTCCCTCTCCCCAGCTCATTACCCTGCTTTGATTGTGTTTGAGGCTCTTGCTGTTGGCTCTTGAACTCTCCAAATTTAGCAATGGGATTTTCAGCCTGGAATTTCTTCCACTTGGCAGTCTGCCAGTGCTTTTGTCTACTGAATAGGCTTCAGGACATGATGCAGATACATTTATTTTGCTTAGCTTTCATTTGATTTCCATTTTTGATTTTTTTTGGTTTGGCCTTTTTATTTGGGTTTTTCACTTTCATTGTTTCATTCTTGACAAAGCCACAACCTGTTTACTCATGTGTCTGTAGGCAATGGCAGTATTTTTATAATGCAGCTGTCTAGGTAAGTACTTTGTAAGATTTTTGTGGGAACGAAAACCCAAAAAATCCCTGACTGCTTGACAGCAGACTTAATAAATCACAAAGTAAATAAACAATTTTCAGTGGTTTTGTAAAGCAGAAATGAACAACAAGATTGAATTTAAGGAGCTTGGCTCTCCATAGTTGAACCTCATATAATTTAGTGGCATCAAAATAGAAGCCATAGTTATATAGGGTGGTGAAGAATCAGACCTGTAGCCCAAGAAATGTAAAAGTATTATCATGTAAATTAACTGAGGAACTTGTTGCTATTTTCCTGTTTGTTACCTCAAAGGAAATTTGCAATTCCTATATAAGTTTTATTTTCAGAATTTTACTTACATCTGTATTGTTGTTTTTTGGAAGTAGCTTTTATATTTTTCTGGGGAGAATGGGTTTATTGGGATGTTTACTGCAATAGATTACTACTTACTACAGGTTTTTCAGAGGATCTGGAATTGCATATTTTGCATTTCAGTGAGTTACTGGTAGTAGTGGCTTTCAGATTCCTGTTGTCTGTTATTGTTATTTTCTCTTAACAGTCTATTTGCAGTCCACTTCTGCAAAACCCAAACAAAAATTTATTAACAGCCCAAAAACTCTAGATGTAAAATGAAAATCTGTAAGAATATTAGAGTATTTGCAAATGAAGATTATTTGTGTAAGCCAGATATAGGATTGGATTGCATCATGTTTGAATACAGGGCAAAACATGAAAGCGTGCCTTTCTGTTGCAGACAACTCTGTCCTCACTAGCATGTGTTATACGCATAACAGCAGGCTTTTAGAATATGTAAGATGTTTACTTTGGCGTCATCTGAGATCAGCGTCAAATTCTTTCCTTCTCAGACCTCTTTATGCAGTACTGTGTTTATTCCATACACAGGTTCCCTGAAGTCTGGGCTCCTACTGTGTGCCTACAGCTACTCTGCTGTTCAGAAAAATCTAAAAAGATTCATATAAATTCTTCTCACTCTTCTTTATCAATACATGTGCAGATTCATTGGCTTCTCCAAAGGGCTGCTGAGACACACAACAGCAATCTAAAAAATCCTCTATTATGCCATGAGCTCCAGTAATCCCTGTCAGTACACAGTAATTCTTTGTGATAGTGGAATGTAATATTATAACAGTATTTTATAAGCTGCATGTACATTAAGACTGTTGGTAATAATTAATACTCAACAATTTACATTGATCGTTATATATATAGCATGTTTTATTCAAAAATAAATGTTGGGCATATCCAAATTAGTTAAATGATTACAGAAGCATTATATTGCTTTCATTTCTTCAGTGGCATCCATGGGAATGAGTGCGCCTTTTTCAATAAATAGAGATAAAGGACTGTGGGCATGTATACACGTGTGCATATGTTTAAAGCTTGAAAAAAACATAACTATATATATGTATATATATGTAATTTGAAAAAGCATATATATGTGTTTGTATACATACATATGTGCACAAAGTGCAGCAAATGTAGCAATGGCATACAGAAATTTTGAATGTTATTTTAAATGTAAAGCTTGTGAGAGAATGCCACAGAACAGAAGACAGGAGTGAGAAGCTACAGGGTTTTATACATGTTCCTGACTGGGTTCCCAGTCATGATAACTGAAGAAATGTATCTGTCCCCCTAAGGGTTGGGGATTTGTGTGCATCAGGCACTTGTCTTCCAGTTAGAAGCCTGCACGATATAGGCAGGAAACATTAATTTATGCTGTTTTTGTTAAGGGGAGGTGATTTGTGCTTGTTTCTTTGGTTTTTGAAGAGAGTTTACTCTTTCAGTCATGGATTGTTTGCTAATCATTTTACTGGACTTAGCATTTCACTTTGTTTTAAATTGGAATTTTTTTCTGTACTCATGACTGGGGAAGTTGACAGGTGAATTTGTGCTGGCCCAAACTTTATCTCAGGTACAACTGGAAAGTTTCTCTAATTTATGTCAGTTAACCTTCTGTGGGTTGCTTAAGGATGTTACAGACCAACCAGGCTCACTCTTGCCACTGAATACAGTTCTTAAGCAAGGGGTGGAGGAGCGGCTCTCAGTGAAGTTGTTCAACAGGTCTGGAGACTGTTAGATGCAAGCATTATAAAGCAACGTTTTATATTTAAGAAAAATTCTAGGGAAGCATAGGGAACGTTAGTACCTGTTTGATCTCTATTCAAAATACGTGCACTTATTTGTTTGAAAGAATAAATTAACGCTACAGAATGAAAAATATGTCCTCAGGAAACTAGCTGAAAACCAAAAATGTCACTTAAATTTCTCCATGAAACTCAATTCAAGGTTTCTGAATTATTTTTTTTTTAAAGATCTGATTACTTATATTCACATTGCTGCTTTTCATATTATTCGTGGTTAAGCCACTCAGTTTGCTCACCTGCAGTGATGCCATCACAACAATGTTCTTGTGTGTTATGACTATTTTATTTTCAGTGGGATGGCCTTTGCAAATGGTTGCAGTAGTCCTGTCCTGTGAGTTAATAATTCTGAAGTGTCAAGTGGGTCCGGTAAAAAGGCAGGAAGAACTCTGATGTGTGGAGTTGGTCTGTGCTTTGCCTCTGTGAGATGGGAGACTGAAAGGCTCTTGTGGCCTTTGTTAGTCAAGAGTAGAGTTTTATTTTACTGAGTTTTATGTCAGAGGGAAAGAACCTGAAATTATGTTTGGCGTAGAGCTTGGACCACCTTGGGTTGGGGCAGAGGTCTGCAGATTATAATTCTTTTCCTGAACAGCATATGTAAGAGAGAGAAACTAATGGCAATATAGATTTTTAAAGTGATTTGCCTCGATTTAAAATGCTAAAAATGGGATCTTAGGAATGCTGAGAACCCTGATCAGAAGTCCCTCCAGGGTATCTCAGACAGATAATCAAAGAAATTCAGTCCCCTTAAGCGGAGTCTTGTACTGAATGTTCTGGGAAGGGTCTGTCTGTTGTTAATGTAGCCAATGTATAGAGCAGGAGTAATAAATACTATTACTTTCCAGATTCTGACTGGATTATTAAAAACAGTTGTTATAAGATTATTTGTTAGATATGGGGAACTGCTTGACTCCGCAGTCAAAATCACTGAAGCATTTCCAGCATGAAAACCTGAGCCAGCAGACATTTTCCATTATCCTGTTATGTCATGATTGACTTCAGTTTTTACAGTTTCTATGGCAACGGT